GAAGTGGCCAAAAATAGTTGAATCAGGAATCCACATCAACCTGAAGTATTTTATTCAGATTCTCTTTTCTAAGTTCACGTTTGAATGATTTACTATCGCTACAGGCTAGACATTCACGAGGTAATTTTTGGAGCAACTTTTGTGCTCAGTCAAAAAATCATGGCTCAGCAAACTAAATTTTGTATACGTCCACCATTAAAATACATTGCTTATAAAGAAAAACCAGAGGTCCATGGCTGGGCCAGAACACTCAGTATCAGAAGGTTTCAATCTGGTTTCACCCCTGAAAATCCTAAAAGCGAGTATGAGGTCATGAATATGTCGACGATAAGAGAAGCTCTTTAGATTGAGTCTTTTCAAACGTTCTTCATAGTTAGGAAGCAACTGTGGACCAGAATTAGGGAAACAATGATAGTACAGAAGTCTTGTGAACACTTTCTGAACACTTTCCAAACTTCGTTTGTGCTTCCTCAAGGAGGGTGTAAGGCTCAAGAAAATTATTGGTCCATAGGGCGGGGTAAATTTGCCTCTTCTTATTGCTGTACTTAACAATGTACGAGCCTTAACCTATCCAATATCTTGAGCCCTTATAGAAAAGCCGTTCTGGATGATATATCTCACATCATTGCTGTTCGTGCACCATTCCCCAACAACTTATCACTACGATCAAAGAAAGGTACATATTATGAGACATTCTAATTAAACAACGACCATAAGAAAATGGCAAGATTGAAGGATAGTCAGAAGCTCATATTCAGAGATGGAAAAAAAAGGATGGGCAAAAGAAAAGGACAACCTGGCACCGAAGTGCCAGGCAAGGTTTAAAGGAGATAGTCAAACAACGGAAAGTTCGGTGTATATGTGGCTGCTGATTCATCCAAAGCTGGTCCTTATATAGCATCCTTCAAATAAGTTCTGTTACTTTTTTCGGTCCCTCTTCCATTGCGTCGTGAGTCATTGATCGTCATCGAACTAGTGGCTTTGACATAATTGTCCTTCTGCCTCTAATGGTAGTTTTCCCCTCCATTACAGTCCAAACAAAATTGTTAAACATAAGAAGCAATTGGTTTTTCCTCGGTTTCACTGCGCACATGATCACAGCTTTTGATACGATCAAACTCGTTTCGTGCACATTCAAAGTTTTTCTTACAAGGGGCACCACACCTGGTTCGCATATTCTAGCAGAGGAATCACTAAGGTTTTATAAAGCTTCAATAGAACCTTTACGTCAGTCAAGAACACCGTCATATGAAAGAACACAACCTTCACCAAATAACAGAATCATTCGGGGCGAAGCCGCGGATGTTAAGACAAAAGTGTAGTGAGTAATATCTCAGAAATAACTCAGTAAAACCGAAAAACTGCGTTTTTATAGCTTTCTTCTAGCCGAAAACTAATTTTTTTTGCAGATTTTTATAGAAAACAGGACAACATTTTCAACTGACCTCCATCCAGACTAAATTGAGTTTCAAAACTCATGAGGGCTATTGGAGTTGAAAAAAAAAGACAAGAAGCTACGCTTGACTTTTGCGCGAAGAGTCGAACACGGATATGTTGGTTTATATCAGTGAAAAAGATTTTTAAGTCTTGCGAAATTATCAGTGCATCTAATCGTGCAATGGCGATCAGAATGATATATATATATATATAATGTTGCGGGGTTTGTTAGGACCCCGCGGATGTCTACGGCCAAAGCCAAATGACCCGTCGGCTCTGGTTCTCCTCTGCTCGTTTGCGTCTCCGCGCGTTGCGCGTTACCTCGCTACCCCAAACGCGAGGCATGGGGCATTTGGCTCTGGTACACTTTTCTTCGTTGTTTTAGACTTAATTCTAGCAAACTTTGTATCATATCAAGCCTGTGACCTCTACTTTTACGCTGGCGACGTCGCAAAACCTCATTTTTAATTTGAAGAAATCTATCAAAAATCGTGCTGTTTAGTACTTTCCAAGCGGTTCGTACATTAGAGAGATCTTGTTTCTGTTTATAACGTAGACGACGTCGCGGGGCTAACTTCTTCAACAGTGGTAAAATATCTGGCGAAAATCTGCAAGTGTGATTCTGTTCATGTGCTTCTATCTGAGTCGGCAAGCAACCATTTTCCACACGCTTACGGCATTTTGTTCAAGATTATATCATGACAAAGCTGACAACGTTGCCAAAGAGAAACTAAGAGAAGGGGGTGAAATATAAAGGATGCTTCAAATACTAGATTATCCTTGACGTGCATCTCGACTTAGGAATAACAAAACTTTACTTTTCATTAATAACTTTCTCGTTTAACTTTCTTCTTGACAATCGCTACTTCCGAGATATGTTCGTTTCTAAAACAAACACAAGGAAGAAATTAGCTTTCCCTCGTTTACTTCATGTTGTGAATTGCCTGGTCCTGGAGCGAAAATCTGCAACTGGAAATGCCACCAAATTAAAGATTTCAAACTCACTGCAGCGTTTTTATCCGATATCTAAAGTTTTCTTCTGCAATTGCCATTTGTTTTGCGTCTTTCTTTCTTCTCTGTTTTTGAAAGCGATCTTCAGTTTTTGTGGGTGGCAGATATTGAAGCAACCTTCATTTTTGAGGCCTTGGCTCTAGACTATCGAAGGGATTTCAAATTTGCTTGCAATGACACAGGACACCGTTGATGACTAGATAAATGAGTCTTCCCTATGCCAAGGAGCATCCAAACCTCATACATAAAGCTGAGTGTCTGTAAAAAGCCCACTCGCAACCGTAGCTCTGCTTGCGTGCTCGATCATGCTTGGCGCCTACTCCAAATAAAGACAGATCAACTGTTTTTGATGAAGAGAATGGAGGAAAGATTGGTAAAACATGTGTATTCACTTCCATAGCAAGCACTGTACATAATCAAAAAATACTTGCAGAAGTAGCCTTACTGAATGAGCGAATACTTGTCAGCAACGACGACATAAATCTAAATGAGCATTTTGTAATCGATGCGTGATACAATAAAACTCACCTTTCTCGGGTTTTTCAAAAAGCGAGTACTGAAGGCTGTTGGTCTCAAATCACTTATCGTTCCGTATAAAATGTACCTGATCATCTGTTAAAAGCTCAGCTTCAAACATGTTTACGCAATCGAAAGTTGCTCTTCAGATTTAGAACCCAATGTTCTAACTGTTTTTTAGGGTGTGCAGATATGCAGCTAACATATTTTATTTACTCAACTCAGCGCCCAAAATTTATCTCAAGCGCATAAAAAGAATATGACGAACACAAAATACTTCACTTCCTTTTTTGTGGAAGTAAATTGTAGCATTTGAAGCTGTTCATGCATTGGCTAAAAGCCTTATAAGCGCGTAAAGAATACGAATTATGTTTTGTAGACGAGGTGCGCTAGACTGATTTGCTTGTTGTCTAGCAGTCTGTAGCAATAATGTTTTGTCGCCAAAACAATTCCGCTCTTCACATAGGATATCCTGTAGGAATGCTCACTGATCCTTTCATGTATTGAATGACCTTACTTTGAAACTGGATAACTTCCGATGAAAACAAGTATGTATTTGAGTTATTTTTTGTATTCAATGTTTGGTCAAATTGACAACAACACAATGAAAAGTTCCTCAGCGAAATGTTCAAAGCGTAGACCTTCCCTCAAATCCTCTCTCGTAATTTCTGTCGCACTGCTTTTTTGGCTTGTAAAAGCATACGAGACTTTCGAAGCTACATCTGAACAAACTCTTGTCTTCTTGCTTTCATGCTTTTTGCCGAATATGAAATCCAGAAAATATTCCGGTCATTCGTCGGTTGGCTGACTATTAATGAATAAAGGTATTCATTCAGTACATACATATCTGTAATGTACTGAATGAATACCAGGTATTTCAAGATCAGCTATTTTCATCGTCAAAAAATTTTTTGAATTCTGCTAATATCACGCATCCGCAGGCCTTAGTAAGAAATTTAAACATTCATCAAAACTTTCAAGAATGTAAGGAATTTTTTTTACAATACAAATATTTAAGGTCGCAGGTTAAGTGTCAACAATTTTTTGCAGACAAAGGTTGCATGTATTTGTACAAAACTTCTCGCCTGCGCATCCATTGAAGCATAGAAACATAAAAAAAATTTATGAAGTAATTTCGAAAAACTGGTCATATCATGACCTAATTATAACAATAATTATAACTAGAAAAAGAAAGACAGTTGCTTTCCATGCTGCAAGGGAAAACACATTTTAGATCCGCATAAATGACTCACGGAAATATCGGAGTTTTTCCTAAATTTTGTTGTTACTCTATAAATTAGGTCTTTTTCATGACCCTACAAAACTCTTACAAGCTCACCCCTCCAGCGAGCACCTGGTATTGTGCATACATGCTTTCTGGCTTCTTTAATTCAGAGCCATATTTCAACAAACATATGCTCTCTTTTCATAATTCTGAAGCCTGGGTTGTTTCGGTGCGATGAGTATGCTACTTATACAGTACGTTGTCGGCGAAAAAATTCTATGCTAGAAAATCGTGGATAGAATTTGACAATGGAGACTAAAATCATTTCTTAAAAAGACTCTTAGTTGAAGAAGTGTACATTAGAAGATGTGGTCTAGCCACTTTTGGACGAGACGTTTTGTTACCATAGATGCGAAAAAAACAATTTCTCAACCATTTAGTCAAAATTATGATTATCTGGCAGTGTGCATTTCTAAATTTCTGATTCTACAAGTTCTATAGCACTATTAAGTAATACATATTTGGAATTTGAATTAGCTCAAGATTTCGAAGCAATTTCGCACTACAGTGGCTCCAAGCTTGCAGTGAGAACTTTCTGCGCAAGGTTCTTAACGAAGAACGTTGCTAGTTCACGATTTGCAGAAGTCTATGCCAGCTGCAGAGGTTGGATACCACTTGCTCTGTCACTTTGACTTTATCACCATAGTGTGAAAGTCACCGAATTTATGTTGATCTGCAATTTCGCGAAGTCAACTCATGCCATCGTCATTTTAGGTCTAGCAAAAATAATATTTTTGGCTTTGCGTGAACCATGGAACAACAAGTGAGAGATGCTATCGTTGGTGGCACGTGGCTCACATTATCTGCATATTCGCTTGTTGCAAACTTGCTACTTCTGTTTTTAATTTGCAACAGCGGCGAACTTCGCAAGTTTACAAGGTGAGAATATTCATATCTCTTCGTCAAGTCTCAGACAAAGTTCTCTTTTTAGCTATTGGATTATCGCCTCCTTCTCTCTGTGTGACGCTGGCATGACGATAATATCCCTGTGCCATTTTATTCCGTCAATTTTAGCACGCAGCGGTAATTCCCGCCCTGAAGCCGTTCTTGACTATTTCATGCTATTTTACAACCTTTTTTGGTATACAGAAATTGTGCATATTGCATTGATGGCATTCAACAGGTATAGAGCATTTGATACAAAAAGCATACAATTTTAACAATTTGTTGCAGATTCATTTGCATCGTCTATCCAGTGTATCATACAGCTTTCTTCTCTGCCGCTAGAACATCACTTTTACTATGTCTAAGCTACGTTTTGGGATTTGCCATAACGCTACCCACACTTTTTCCAAAGTGCTATCTGCTGTGGAATAGCCAGTATTACATACCCATGTATGCCGTCGAAGATACTTGGTAAGTTCATTTATTTGTACTGACAGCAATACCATTTCAATAAAATGTGCTCTCCTACTCCCCTCTTCTCTCCCTATCCTCCTTCTTTCAGCAGCAAAAATCACCATTGAACCGCACTCATATCACCTCGATTTCTAAGTAAATTGCCTGTTTTAAATTATTTCATATCGGTAGACAACTAGTCAAATTTTATAGTCACATGTTTCAAATACTTGACAATTCACTATCCAAGTCACATGTTTTTCTAAAATGCAGCACTACGACGCTGTTATCTAATAGCGAATACAAATTTCTATACTGTAACAGAAGCTCATACCTCACTTTTAACTACAATTTATTATGGCTTACCTAAGAATTGGCAATGACAATGTTGCTCTGGATTGATGATTTTTGCAAATTGTCGACCTGAGGTACTTAAATTCTCAAAGCATTCCGAATTGGTTTGAAAAGAGCCCCACTTGATGGAGGATACGTAGCTACACAAAAATTCAATCTAGAAACTGGGACCTGGTTCTAACCAAGACTTATGACTTTCCTCGGATTAGCGCAGGTCTGTCAATCTTTTGTGTCATTTTATAAGGAACTAGTTGGCTTACCCGGCTCCGCCCGGCCCTGTCATTATTTTATTCGTAATCAGCATGTTCGATTATCCCCCTGTACCAACTCCCAGCCCCGTAGCTCAAATTTTGCAAAAAATCGATAAAATCGATATCGATCGATGAGAAAAGTAGCCTATGACACCCGCCGGGGCTCGAAGTCTATGTGTGCCAAGTTTGGTCCGGATCGGTTCAGAAATGGAATTTTCTATTCGGAACATACGTAACACAGACAGACATATGTACATACAAATAGACAGACAAACAGACATTCAGCTTCATATATAAGATTAATTTTGTACAGCATGCCATGAGCCAGATGCTAAGACATTCTAGCAAATGCGTAGTTTTGGGGTGCTTTTCATATTGTAAAATGTACCATTGTAATAGCACATTATATCATCACATCAAGACTTTTCGAAAACAGCAAAAATCAATAACGTATTCTCAATTCTTCTCATGATGTTCGTTTCAGGTACAGATACATGGATTTGGGAGTAAACGCTACAGTCGTAGCGCTCACCGTTGCTTTCTACGGTGGCATCCTTTATGAAGTACGGAACGTTGCTAGAAAATCACAGGTAATGCGTAGTCATTGAACAGAAAAATTTGATGTCAGTAAACTAAGCCGGACTTTGTATTACAAGCACTCTCGATTTGCCAACAGCATCGCATGCCTCACCGAAACAAACAGTAAGGAATTTACCATACCTTGTTGTTGACTGTCCATTCTCAGGGTCCCTATAAATGGATCGGCAAATAAATCAAAAATTTCTGTAACTCATTGACTGATACTGCTTGAAAGTTCTGTATGTTAATTTCTAGTTATTTTCGCGGAAAACTTACGATTTGATCTCAAAGACAACCTTATCGAAGGTGAAGGTACTTGAAAGGATTTTCTATAATTATGCTCTACTCTGGTCTTTGCACCTTTTCCTCTGGCGAAACCCGACTATTCATTTGCCGTGATTCTTACTAATGTTAGTGAAATTTTTCTCTAGAAAGCGCTTTCAGAAGCAATTTTTCCTTCAGACTTTGCAAATTGTCTGTGTACGTCAATTGCTTGATTAATACTCTTTCACTGAAAGCACTTCCTACACCAGCGAACCACTTACGAGCCACTTACTCGTAAGCTTGCTTTCCACAAGAAGAAGCAAGACTACTTGGAGGAGAAGCTCTAAAAAATTTTTATTAACTTCTGCGAATTAGCTGTGAAACGATGTCACTTCTTATAGTACCTCGAAGAAACCCAGCTACTTATACGCTTTGCTTTCTACAAGAAGGAGCAAGATTTCCACTAAGAAAACCCTCTCAATAGACTTTTGATCCGAGCGAATTATCTGCGAAGAAGTCACTTTTCGGTATAATGCTTTTCCCTGGAAAGTCACCTCCACCAAGCAGGACCCGGCACGAGGTGGGCAAATGACAAGCTGGAATGACAAGCTCGTCTTTGGTGAAAAAAGCAAGGGGGAAATCGTTTTTACGGGGTCTGGAGCGGAGCCCCGGAAGAAGATTCAAAGTGCAAGCAAAAGAAGGCCGAATCATGCTTAATACCTCATACATCTGATTCATTGGGAAGTAGTTTTCATAGCCTCAACGCACAGCATTCGCGCGCGCTACGCCGCGCCGCCTAATTGCCGCGTGCGCGACGTCGCATAAGCGATGCCGTTGAACAGCATGATTACATGATCAGTTCTCAATGCAGGCGTAACTATATAGCACCAAATTACGTAAGCGAACGAAGAGAGTCTAGTAGAAACAAAGTATGAAATATTATGAAAAACTTAAGTGAATGGGAGATGTAATAAGCTTTTTTCCAAAAATTTTGCAAAACTAGTGAACAAAAATGTGAATTCAAATGGCCCCTCTGCAGCGCACAGATGACCATACGGTATTAAACTTAGCATATACATGAACACGGGCCTGCAGGGCTTAACTTAGAAGTTTCATTGAAAAACTATGTGACTGAAGGTTGTAGCAAGCTTCTTTCTGAGAATTTCCCACTATCAAGAAAATGGAAAAATGGCTCCTTTGCGGCGCAGGGAAAACGAAATCGCGCGAGACTTGGTGTGTATACGCGCATAGGACTAAGGAACAATGTATGAAAAATTATGGTAAACTTAGGTGAATGAGGAGCATGCTCACTATTTTCCAAATTAGGTGGGCAATTGTTCACCTAATGCCCATCTGAGGTAGGCAAAACTTTCAATTCATATAAGTTTTCAAAAATTTTCGCATAAGTATGTTGTACACCTAAAGTTTACTATATGGTAGGATTTTGGTTGCGAAACTGCTTCTCTCGTTTTTGTTAGAGCCCAAATCGCATCAGCAGCCCAGGTTTCTAAGCCTCGGGCAGAGTTCACGAGATTTGGTCGTCGCAATCTAATCGCCGCGATCTTCATTCATTTTCATTTTACATTCAAAAATTTCGAGCTGGAAAAGTATCACAACCGAAATGCAAGCTGATCGGCATGCAATGAACTCGTAACAGCTGTTTTGTAGCGATTGAATTGCAACATCAAATCGCGTGAACTCTGTCTGAGGCCTAAGGAGGAAAGCGCGCTCCAGTCAATCGATACGCGGGGACGGCATCATTCAGTAATATAACTGCTTTACTATGGTATTTCTTTATTCCTTCATCATAAGAGGTGCGATAGGTGGAGTCGGGCCCTCTAAAGGTGAAGGTGGTTCCATCTACCACTGGCCCGCCAAAAGTGAAGGTGGCAGTGCCGGACACTTCCTCCCAAAAACGTCGACCGGGGGGGGGGGAGCGTTAACGTCGACTGAGCCTATCCTTCCAGATCGTTGCCGCCAGTGCGCGGAAAATAAGCAAAACAAACGCAAAAAAGATTATTGAAAGCATATTTTTATGTATACGGCGGCATACATGTATATTTAAAATAAACATGTTTAGTAAAGGGTGTATTTTGAAGTAAAAGCCAGCGAGACTTCACAGATATTATCAGGTAAATTTTGTTATAACGTACTGCGAAAAAAGTAGGTCGATCCAGGCAGTAACCGCCGAGAACCAGAATTTTGAATAATAAAATAACGAAAAAATCATGCAAAATTTCCACTGTTATAAATCTGGTGGTTGGAGATGTCAGCAATTGAGGCTATATAGGTTTTGAAGGGCAAGTGTTGCTCTACGAGGCAGTGAAAAAATTAGGTCGATCTGAGCAATGGCCGCCGAGAACGAGAATTTTAAAAAATTAAGCGATTTTAGGTTGCTCAGTGACAGCTGACGTTCAGACTCCTATAAATCTGGAATATGAAGGCGTACAATGTTGCGACTCCATAGGTTTTTGTGGAATAAGAATTGCTCTATCGGACTATGCCTTAGCCGTACCGATCCATCAAGACCGCCGAGATTCAGGCTTTCAAAAAAAACAGGTGAACTTTTTGAACTCAAACAGCTCATACTTCTTAAGAATTGCATGAATTATGTTGCGCTTCATAGGTTAGATTCTTCTCATCAAGAGCTTTCAGATGATGTGTGATATGTGGGGGGTTCAATGATTTTTGCGGCTCTAACCCAGGATGGAGACTTTTCACCCCAAGGTCTCCACCTCGCCCATGTTAATGTATTGGCCGGAGACCGCCAGTGAAGACTTTGGGGTGAAAAGTATGCCGTGAGAGACGCAAAACCCCACAAATTATGTATCATCTGAAAGCTCTTGATGAGAAGAATCTAACCTATGAAGACGCAACATAATTCATGCAATTCTTAAGAAGTTATGAGCTGTTGAACTTCAAAAAGCGGTTTTTCACCTGTTTTTTTAAGAGCCTGAATCTCGGCGGTTTATTAATGGATTGATACGGTTAAGGCATAGTCCGATAAAGCAATTCTTACTCTACAAAAGCTATGAAGTCGCAACATTGCACACCTTCACATTCCGGATTTATAGGAGTCTGAACGTCACCTGTCACTAAGCAACCTAAAAGCGCTTAATTTTTTAAAATTCTCGTTCTCGGCGGCCACTGCTCAGATCGACCTAATTATTCCATTATCTCTAGAAAAACACTTGCCCTTCAAAACCTATGAAGCCTCAATTGCTGACATTTTCAAACACCAGATTTATAACAGTGGAAATTTCGCATGATTTTTTCGCTATTTTATCATTCGAAATTCTGGTTCTCGGCGGTTACTGCCTAGATCGACTTACTACATAGATATATGCTCTCAATACTTTCTTTTGCGTTCCTTTTGCTTATTTTCTTTCTTTTAAGCTTCAACAAAATAATTTTCTCAAACCCAAAAGTGAAGGTAGGCGGAGACTGGGCTCCGACTATCGCACCTCTGCTCATCATTTTTCTTGCTTATTCTTCTTCCTATTTGCTATCTTGATAAAAGTGAGGAGTAATTAGAAGAATGTCAGCATTTTTGGGTGCTTTTGAGCGCTTTCAGGCAAAGTGTGGCCGTGCTCTCGTTGCACAAGCGCAAAGCATCGTTTTTGGGCTCAAGGGGGTATTCGTTGAGAATTTTGAGATTAAAGGGGAATTCGTTTTGGAAAACCCCATTTGCCCACCTCGTGCTGGGCCTTGCCACAAACGAGACTCACAATGGAAGCATGTTTAGTCGAAGTGGCTTTTTTGAATGCGATGTATACCATATTGAAGTGCAAAAAATGCTGATTCCAAATTTGCCTCCTTTATCTGCAGAACATTTATCGACGGGGAGTTATGAGCGCTTATTATAGCAAAAATTGATTGTGCAAATAGGACAAAAGTATTGTATTCAGAAAATACTTTGAAATGAAAAATATATCGCACTCGGTTGCATTATTTGAGGGCTAATAAGATTTTAGCAACTCTTTTTACCCAAAATGCACATTTAATTTTTCGCTCAAAAAACACACATAGCTAATCGTCCATAAGCGTTTTGCAGATACTTCTTCGTCAGTTACTCACACGCTTCGCTTCCCGCGAGGGAAAGCGAAAACTTCCCTAAACGCTCTGAAATCGCAATGTTGTCGAAGTTTGCGGAAATTGTTTGCATTGCGGAATTTTTCTCGGGAAACAGCGAGATTCGGTCACTTTACGTTTTCCATCTACAAGCAAGAAAAAATTCATTTATTTCAAGACATAGAAAGATTTAACTATGAAGAGACTTTGGCGGATTTCCGAAATCTAAAATAAGACTACCAGAGATAACTATATTTTACGATATGTGCGCATTTGATACGTATACTTTAGCAGTCTGCATTCGGCACTGGAAACATCAATCAGAGGAACTACAGAATGGAAATCCGTCTACTTGCACAGGTGAAATATTCACCAATGAGTAATTTGCCTGATAGTGGTTGTTAAGTGCTTTCGTTGCTGAAATCAACCATATGTCAAGGCCAAAAATTTGATACATAAGAACAAATCTCTGGAATCGCTCAAAAATTAAATTTCCAATTTTACAGTTTTTCGCTACTTCCTTGGTATATGTGCTTACTTGGACATGCTGGCTGTGGATGCCCAATATAACATTTTCACAGTGGATTGGTTTTTCCATGACGTCTCTGTTCTTCATAAACACTTCAGTAAGTTTCGTGCTGCAAGAATACCTGCGCACGAGCATTGCTTGTTAAGGTTAATCCTACAATCTATCTCATATTCAACAAAAGTTTGCGGCAAAAATTCTATCACGTAGTGTGTCGAAAAAGCAAAGATGCAACCACTCCCTTCATGACCGTAAAAACTAATGAGGAGAGGGAGGTGAGAAGACATAAAATTGGGTTGATTCACAAGTAACGATAAACTTTATTGCCTGGCATTTCAGAGTTGAGTGGTGCATTAAATACTGATAGTGCTGATCAATTCTGCAACTTCGGACATGTCTTCCTGCTTGTATGACAACGTCGCTGATGTCTCGTTTTAGCATCATATTGAAGTTTGTAGACTACAAAATGCGCTAGATCTCATTGCAAGTATTCATGTCATCAAATGCTCGGCAAGATTTCATTTTTTTGTTCATTACATAAACTTTGACAATGCGGCTTTGCAATGCCTTACAGTCTGATACACAATCTTCTAATTTTTGTAACAAAATCTTTCATTACGTCGAACTGATCGTCAAAAATGGCATTTATGCTAGTTGCGAAATACCCGAACACTGTAGAGAAAATGGAACCACTGAAGACTTCCTGCTAAACAATTGGGCGTTTCTCTTTCCTTTGTCAGCATTCAAGCCCGATTTCTCTGGAGGGAGGCGGTTGCGTATCGGCAAGGAGAAACGAGTAGGGCCTTGCAGCTTTACAAAAATGCCCAGAAAAACTTCAAATCATGCCGGCAAAACCACTGATGTTTATATTGCCTGATATGCTGTCTTTGGCACGCTCGGAGCAGATGACTATTTTCTAAGTATTCTAAAATATGACTAGGCGGAGAAGAGGAGGTTTTCAATGAGGCTTAAAAACGTTTGCATAGGATTTGGAATGTAAATAGTATCTATGCGAAACAAGAAAGTGGAGAAGAGGGTAAAAATGTAACTCTGTTTTCTTAAGGCCTCGGGCAGGGTTTACGCTATTTGGTCGTCGCGATTCTCGCTACAAGATAAGTGTTACGAGTTCATTGCATGCCGATCTTCTTTTATTTCGCTTGTGATATTTAGTCACAATTAGTCGTGTTGGAAAGCTATCACAACCGAATTACAAGAAGATCGGCATGCAATGAACTCGTAACACTTGTCTTTAGCGATTGAATCGCGACGACCAAATCGCGTGAACTTTGTCTGAGGCCTAAACCTCAGGTGGCTCGCCATGGAGCAGGAAGCTTCTCAAATCGAAGAAGGTTTGCCACTTTTGTAAGCCATATGTATTCAGATTCTTCTTGCGTTGTCGCTACTTTTGAACATATATCCACAACAAACTTGGTGTCATAACTTTTATGTGCGTTGCAGACAAATTTTTCCCTCATCAGCCAATACTGGGAAGTTCTTCAGAAGAAAATCATACTGCTAGTTCACATAAATTCTCAGGATTTAACAAGTCTATAATCTTATGTTCTAAAAACTTAGGGCTCGTTTCGAAACCGTTTGACTTTCTCATTCCTTTTGCCTCCAAGTGCCACTCATGTTAAGTGCAGGCCACAGCTATTACCGTAGCAAGCAGGCTGAAGCATTGTTGGGAGTGAATCATGCTTTACCTTTGAACAACTTACGAAGAATTAGTACTTGGTGACCTTGTACATCAAAATGATCTCCTTAAAACGGTGATTTCATGACTAAGTTTTTCATTTGCGGGAAAACATTCGGAAATTAAATAACACTTGAAAAAACACGAAATTGTTGCACAATTAATTAATCGGCAGCCTCTGTTTAATGATCCACTATACCCATGGACCATTTTCTAACTCTATCGCTCATCGATTCTCGCATTCTCGTGCAAATACATCAACTGCGAAGAATGCCGCTTCTGACCTTCCAGCGTCAGGCTGCTCGACCAAGAGGAAGCAAGCGACAAGAAAAAAGGAACTCCGACCATCATATGCTCTTTTATGTATCATCAGTTCGAGTAAAAGCTAGGACGTCCCCCCGGAGGAGACGCACATTCGAGCCCGACGAATGTGGGCAATAAGCGAGGGTCCCGTCTCAGCAAGATGAACGGGACAGCTAAGGAATCTAGCTCATCTCTAAGTTCTCGGCATTACGTCTACTTACTATTAGGTCGTAAAGAAAGTTCCCGGGCACTTGCGAAGATTTTTTTCAATTCGTTGTAACTTCAAGCAGATTGATTCTTTTTAAAGCCACAAACTTCATTGCAAAGACAATTTTGTCTACAACCATACACTTGCCTTGTTGGCTTTTCATCAGCTCACTGCGGCCCACCAGCATGCGCAGAAGGGAAAAAGGTCGTCGTCAAAAGTCGCCTATTAGTGCAGGATTATCTCAGGCACGATGAAAGCTGGAAAGCTCAAACGCTGCAGTTATATAGTCTACTGGGGCTGTTATGGAGACCATTTAAGCCTTTGAGCGACCACATGCAAAAAAGTTTTTCCAGTTTGAAAAATCGATCATTTTTTGCCCCTAAAAATGCACCATTTTTCGAGTAAGTGACTTAGAAGTCTTGTCGTTTTGCATAAGGCAAACCAAATCTTTGATTACTGCGAACATTGTCGGGGTAGTGCCTTACACATCTTTTGGATCCATCATCCAGGCGTGGCGATCCCCGCAGAAGCAACGCCAGCTGCGAAATGAGTTGCAGTCAGAGACAAGTTCGACAGCTTGTAGTTTCTGAGCGCAAATCGCAAAACTCGAGTGCAGCTGCGGGTCGAAAGTTGACAGGCTTCTCAATCAGATCACCCATGATTTGGACGAAGTTCTTTGAACTGCACAGAAAAATGGCAGCAAGAAGAAAAATTGTGAAATTTTTATGGTTTTCTTTGGAAAGATTTCTTTTCTTGATATGCAGATCAAACATGTCTTGGCATCAATAAAAATCAGACATATTGCAAACTCTAGGCTCCCCTCTACTGAACAGTACAAAACACTTAATGTCAAAGCCCGACCGAGAGGCGAAAAAATGCCTTTGAAAATGAAATTTCCAAAAGTGCCCGGAAACTTTCTTTACAACCTAATATCAAAGTCGGTTCACTCACAGCTCGACATCGCGATCTGGCCGGTCTTCTCAGAAGACGTAAGGTAGAAATGTATTCGGGAGACCAAATGGTAAGGTGGAAAAGCGCGTGACATCGGAGATGGCTACAAGCTACCTACTCTACAAAGAAACGACTAACAACAGGAATGGTGTCGCCATAGTCGCTCTGAAGCGCTAAGAGATAAGATTACCAATGTAGATCGAATGAGTGACCGCCTCATAAGTATAAGATTAGATACCGGGAAGAAAGTACTTCAAGTAGTAACGGCCTACGCACCACAAGAGGGATCTGAAGAAGCGGAGAAGGTAGAATTCTGGCAGCAGCTTGATGACTACGTCAGTTCGATACCGGAACAAAGATGTTACTGATCGGTGCGGATCTCAATAGACATGTTGGGAAGCAACGAAAGTGGTCTACAGAAGTGCCATGGACATCACAGATACGGGACACATCGAAGGAGAACGTATTCTGGAGTTCGCTACAACCTACGACCTAGCCTTGGCAAATATGTATTCATTGAGAAGACCAACCACCTCGTCACGTACACCGGTGAAGACCACAAATTGCAGATAGACTTCTGGAGCGTACGGTACAACGAGCTCGAGAATGTAGAAGATAGCAAAGCCATCAGGTGAAGATTGCGTGCCACACATCAACCACTGATACTGGATCTCAATATCCCAATCGATAGGAGAAGGAGGGCGATGAGTGAACAAGAAGTACGCTCAAATGGTGGAAGCTCAAAGACAACGTCCGAACCAGAACGTCAATGGAATCTGCCCTGCCGATATGGCAAAGTGATCCAAACCGCTCCTGGATGCTTCTGAATTACAACATCCACCAGATAGGTGGCGACCTGCTAGAGAGAGAGAATCTTTTTGTATCATAAAGTGCTGGCCAAAATCACACGTCCATCCTAAAAACTGCCGTAGCTCAACTGCTTCTCAACGAATTGGTCTGAAATTTGGTACAGTTGTGTGTTTAACAGGCTACCATCAGTAACTAAAACGGATCCCGTTTTTGTTTGATTATTCAGAAAAAAATCAAAAATTTCGAAAAAGCAGGCCTGAAGGTTGGCAAAACTATAATTCCACCTAAGGTTTCTGTCCATTAAAGTTATTCTCGGCTTCCAAATTCTTTTGTGCATATACATAGTCAAAAGCCAGAACAGTCGCTTTGTTCAGTGTGTCGTACCTTCATAAGAATCTGCTTTTATCTGATTTTTTCGCTCAAAAATACTTTCGTGCGCATTTTGTTCACAAAATGTGTCTTTATGGGTGATTTCGCAGTTTTTTGACTGGTTTGGAAACGATAGGGCTCCATCTATCTTACAGATGCTTAGCGAGGTGAGAACTAGAAAAAAATTTGAGTTTTCATATTTAAAGTGCACCCGACATAGACCTAACAGCAAGCCTGCGCTCAAATTTTTGTCTTTAAAATTAGTTTGCGTTATTTTTGTGAGCTCAAAATGATGTATTAGGTCATCCCAAAAGTTTTTTCATACCAGGCTTTTCACCAGAATAAGTCTGCTCTTCTTAGACTTCTGATGAGAAGCGGAGTACCATTCGAAAGAGTAAAGCAAGCCCTACAATATGGCTCTCAAAAGTTCGCACAGGCTTGATCCACATTGAGTTTCAAGACAAAATGGAATAAAAACCAAAATTACCAAAAATCAAAAAAATCATATCTTAGTTCAAAAACATTCTGCAAAGTTCCCACTCGCTCACGCATACATTTTCCCCATCAAACATTTATATATACACTTACTGCATTTTTCTGACGGCTAGAAATCGAGAAAAAATAAAGCGCTTAATTTTTAAACTTTGCCTGTAATAAGTCTATGTTCCTCGCAAATGTGTCATTATATAGCTTATTTACTCAAGAATACTCCCACAAATTTGCACCCTTCTAGATGCCTTAGTTCTAGAGAAATATCATTTTGGAGGTACGAATATGAAAAGCTCTTGGGATGACCTAATAGAAGCATTATTTACATAAAAAGAAACTTATACGCTATGCTCACGATTGTTCGCCAAGTCACATTTTGCATCGTTTTCAAAGCATAAATCTTCGCGGTTCAGTGATAATATTTAGACAATCCCAAAATACCTACCAAGTGGTATCTTCGCTGATTTTTTGCCGCCATTTAGCTGCTGGATAGTAAAAACACCCTGTATTGTATGTTGCCTTGTGACTCACATGAGCATTACGGTCAGAACCAGAAATAAGTTCGGCTTTTCGCAAATCAGTTTTTGCAGGATGAACTCCTCGATTAGCCTGCATGCTAGGACCTGCAGAAATCTGCAACCACTGCGTACGGACTCTCATAGGTACATACTATGTCATTACTCTATTTCACGCTCATGAGAACATTGCAGAAAGATTTTGAGGGCATAAATTTGAGCGCAGGCCTACGGTCAGGTCTATGACGGAAGCGCTTCAAATATGAAAACTCAAATTTTTTTCTAGTTCTCACTTCGCTCCGCATCTATAAGATAGATGGTGCCATCGCTTCCGAACCTGTCAAAAAAACTGCGAAACTACCCATAAAAACACATTCTCGGGAACAACATACGCATGAAAGTATTTTTAAACGAAAAAAAGCAGATAAACGTTTCTTATAAAGGTATGACACAGCTGGACTAAAGCGACTGTTTTGACTTTTGATTATGTATATGCACAAAAGAATTTGGAAGCCGAGAATTACCTTAATGGACAGAAACCCTAGGTGGAATTATAGTTTTGGCCAACCTTCAAGCCTGCTTTGTTCGAAATTTTTGATTTTTTCCTGAATAATCAAACAAAAACGGGATCCGTTCTAGTTACCAGTGGCGTACCGAGGGGGGAGGGGGGGGGCGGGGGGGGAGGGGGGGGGGGCGCGCCCCTCCCCGAGAATGGGTCGCGAAATTTTTGAAAGTTACTCATATGGATTATAAAAATGTGCAAGTAACTTGTTTATAATTGTAAATAATTAAAATAATTTTTAAAAATTTTTAAAAATTCAATTTAGCCTTGTAAAAAAAATTTTTCGGGGGCGTGGCTAACGCCACGCCCCTTTTTTCCAGATTTTAGGGGTTGGGGACCCGCAAAAATCTTGAGAAGCTCTAAAAATTTTTCGGAGTGCGTGGCTATCGCCACGCACCTTCATTCGAAAAAAATTTTTGTCGCGCCTCCCCCCCCCCCCGAGCGGAAATCCTGGGTACGCCATTGCTAATTACTGATGGTAGCCTGTTAAACACGGGTGCGGGAACTTAACCCGAAAGACTTGCCGCAGCGTACCTTAGGTATCGTGAGCAGTCAGATACGCAATTAGTATAGTGTACAGAGCCTAGTCTTTGTGTATTATAAGCACCGCCCCCATCCATCGACTCTTTCGCGATGCATCCATCTTATATATAAAGCTGAATGTCTGTTTGTCTGTCTGTATGTCTGTCTGTCTGTATGTCTGTCTGTACGTATGTTCCGAATAGAAAATTCCATTTCTGAACCGATCCGGACCAAATTTGGCACACATACACTACGGGCCCCGGCGGGTGTCATAGGCTACTTTTCGTCATCGATCGATATCGATTTTATCGATTTTTTGCAAAATTTGAGCTACGGGGCTGGAATTTGGCAGAGGGGTGTAATCGGGCATGCTGATCACCCCCACGGGGAGTGACGAAAAGTAGCCTATGACGATGACGAAAAGTAGCCTATGACACCCGCCGGGGCCCGTAGTGTATGTGTGCCAAGTTTGGTCCGGATCGGTTAAGAAAAGGAATTTTCTATTCGGAACATACGGCAGAGCCGGGTAAGCCAGCTAGTCAATCATAAAACCGCGAATTCAATAGAATCACAAAATTGATGTTTAGCAACTATCTGCTCGATTTCGATTGAAATACGGATTTAGGGGTTTTCTGAGGCGCTCTTTGCAAACACGCTATTGGTTTTGCGCCGTCTTTTCTTAGGGAGCCAAAATTTTGCTTTGGTGAATTGACTTTTAGCTCAAAAAATCTCGACCAAAAAATCATACTCAGAAAGTGAAGTTCAGCATTTTGGATTTACCTGATCCTTGTAATCTATAACAATTTTACCAGTCGAATGATTTCATATTTTTCTAAGTTTATGGATTTTTTTTTTGCATAAAGAAATTTTGATTCGGCACTTTCACAGATTTGCCTTATGCTCCTAATTACAACCATCTTTTTTTCTTTCTATTAGCTCCATATTGAGCCTCGCAGCTCTTTCCTAGCACATTCTGGCGCTGAGCCAGCCTCGATGTCCTCAGGTATTGCCAGGTGGTTCTATGCCAAAAAGGTGCAATGTGTGGGCGGGGCTTAGCTTAGCGCTGTATCCTAAAGAGCATCTGGAATCAGCGACCTCGCTATGCCTAATTATACCCCGCAGACACACACTCATAAGGAGCGAGAATATCTCGAATAGGTAAGTTCCGTTCCCCGTTAAACACACAACTGTACCAAATTTCAGACTAATTCGTTGAAAAGCAGTTGAGCTACGGCAGTTTTCAGGGTGGACGTAAACTTTTGGCCAGCACTGTACAGTCGAGTAGATTTAGCGGTAAATATAGTGTGCTTGCACAGAAGGTGAAATGCGGTGAAATTTGCGCGTGAACAAGTAGCCACGTCAGTACCGCGGGTATCTTGCGCGCGCAATTGGCCGGCGTCACAGTCGAAACTATTTCATCACGCGCCAATTTTACCGCATTTCACCTTCTGTGCAAGCACACTATATTTACCGCTAAATCTACTCGACTGTATAGGGTGTGCTCTATTTATCCGTTACCTGAATTTCTTCGGAGAGGCAATGCAAAAACCTAGAAATGTAGCGAATTTTGACCTTGGTAGAAACCATGGGTCGTGATTTTTGGTATTTTCTGACGGCTCCTTTGTTACCCATATAAGGAAGATCATTTAAAAAAGAACGAAAATCCGCATCGAAAGCTACCAGGATTTTTCATGGATCTTTGTCTTGCGAAATATGGCGCTTGGTGAAAAAGCGAAATTTCTTCAGGGACCTTCTAATAGTATAGCAGATCAGATCAGAGTATATCAAATCGTGCCCAAATTCAAAATCAAAATGAATTTTGATGAACCTTGAGATTTAACGCAAGATTTTCTCCATTTAAAACATGTCAAATAAAACTATTATGCTGAAGTTGAAGGAACTGATAATATTTCAAATATTTTCGTGCACAAATTATAATATCAAACAATATATTCTACTTTTTATTCTGATTTTATAGTCCTAGTATTACAATTACATACTTATCTGTCTTTGGCTTTCTTCCAAAAATGAAGCGATTTTCCAATAATATAACTTAGCGAGAATGTAAACAATGACTCAACTTGAGCGCACTTTGCTTTCAATCATTGCACAACGTTGCGTATCGATTGCGTTCCCTCGCCTCAAAGCGGAATAATCTGAGTTCAATGAAACAGTGATATTCTAGGTGTCATTTTCTTTTCCTGTGTATTTTGGAGCTGTCTCTCTAACATCATTTTCATGGTATGTAGGTCACAGTTTTTATTTGTTAGGAAAAAAATAGAATTTTGCCGTTTTTGACATGATCTGTAATTTTGCGCGCCTTGCCCAACGCTTGTGAGTCGTTCCTAAAGCCATTTCAAAAAAAAACTGCAACCCTTGCGCCTACATAAGCTCAAAAGGAAAAAAACAAGGTGATATTCTTGAAATTGGCAACTTACAGGAACATAAGCCCTACGATGCAACGTGATGTGCAGTGATATAACATAGTCATACTTCGAAATTCGTGACGATGGGACCGCGCGCGACAGGCACGCACTACCGGCAACCGCTTTCTTTTATTCTTCATCTCTACTTGAATGCATTCTCTGCTTATATATTTAGACATTATAAGAGGAAGATGATGCCTTTTTGTATGAGTGTTTTCTGCTCCCATGGGCGCAAAGACCGCAGTCAAATCTGGTATCTTTTGCACATAGTACTGCATACTGCACCGGCAGTAATGCAATCACAAATTTTGCCAAGCCAAACGAGCCAACTATGTAACGAGAGCGAGGAAAGTTTGTCATTTTATCCTTTGCTCTTTTTTTTGGTCTGGATACAGTGTTGTCCATAGCAAAAGGCAGCATTCCTCTAAGGCTTGTAGTCACTTGACTGATGATCTTTTTTATCCAATAAATTTTCAAAGAGATGCAAGCCTTATTTGCAGTATTCTAACAAGTAACGTAACGTGACGGACCTTTAGCGACACAATACAGCCGGAATTATTTTTTACTCTTTGCGAAATTCGAATTTGAAGACTATGTGTAAAGATTAGAATGGAACTCGGCAATGTATAACGTACATATAGGATTATAGGTCGCCGAAAGGGACGCATGCGCGTCCTGCAACAAATGCGCATGCACTTCATTCAGATGCTAGGGGTACATATTTGTTGCAAATGTCCGCATGGTCCTCTACCCCCAAAAATTGACATTATTTCAATTATTTCTGTCATCTCACTAAAAATTTGCTCTTCATCTTTTAGGTGAAAAATGCAGCTTCAAGATGAATATCTGCAAACGACACCGATAAAAGTATGGTACTTGTCCATAGACTTAGGTTAAAGCTAAAAGTCTTGCTCAGAAAGTATAATTCTTTTATCGATCTCGCGCATTCACAGAATATTAGAGCCCATAACAACTGCAATATAAACTAGAATTTCAGATTCCGCACAAACCTCATGTCGCATAGTGACATTGAAAACTACAATCACAAGTAAGTCGTAATACTTGTGACCCAAATCATCTCCTTTCATTTTTCTGGACATAAAAAATCGGACAAATCAAAATCGCATGCAAATCGATCATAAAGTGCCTCTTCAGCTACAATCTGCTCATCAATAAGTGTCTTCGAAGAAATCATCGTAACCGCGCCAAAAAATCTGATGAAGGTGTTCTACTGACCAAGACTATTTATGATCCGCACAATACTCTTAGTAAAGTGAGAGTTTATCAAAAATCACCAGAATTCCTGGCGAGTTATTAATTTTAGAAAGCGCAGAATCATCTTCTTGCTGACGACTTCGACAACCTCATCGCTAATGTTCCTTACTCTTTGAATAAACAACAAAGGTGGAAGGTAACCGTTTTTTAGTTACTAGGTCCCCTGAACGCCCAATTGTTTTGATGAATTTCAGATCGATCCCGTCTCCTTGCTTCACAGAAGCTCTTCTTCAAATCCGGAAATAAATGTTGTGGAACGCGAAATCAGCCCAGTTTCACCGAATAGTAACTTCACAAGATTCTTCATTAGTGGCTGTTTCGTATAAATCTCATTTAGCTCATCCAACCAGCTCTACAGTGACGAATATTCACGTGCTAGATGATGATGCAGTGACCACATTATCTTCGGGAGGAAGGAAAAAGACGGTCGGCTTTTGTAGCTTTCGCACTAGTCGATCGATAATTGGTCATTTTTAGTTAGAATATTTTACAAAACGTTTGGATGAAATGAGGGGCATAAAGGATGAAAGTGATGCGGTGAAAATTCTTTACAACATTTATAGTCCACCTCTTCTACCTCACAAGAAAAATCGACGGCCAAAGCAGGGTGAGTTTAGCTGTATGTCTTCTTTCCGCTAAGAATAACAACTTCTTATTGCTGATCTTTTGTTTATCAAATATTTAAAAAAATTTTCAAGCATTTCTAGCCTACTTTTTTTTAGGAAAGAAGAAGCGAATAAAAGTTTATGGATCGAAATCGAGGGACTCTAGTGACGAAGAATTGCCTGAATATTCTGGGGATTTTTCTGATTCATCTTTAGATTGTAAGGAAGCAGAAGCATATCCTCGGTCTGGATCAACTGATGACATTTTGCGCCGATAAATCTCTTCTTATTACAGAAATAAGACTCTTGGTGATTTTCTGACCTTTGAAGAACCGAAATTCTCCAAAGAAAAAGTGAAACTACCTTCGAAAAGCAGTGAAGGCTCATTTGAGGTAGTTCCTTCGAAGAATTAATTCCGGGCTTTTTTTAACCACATTTTATAGTTGATTATACCTAAACCCGCTCCACTTCTTGACATATCGGAAACAACAAATGCTGGTCATATTTTCGAGATAGTGGAGGTTGAAGTAACTAATTTTGATACTCTCAACCTTCAAGAAGAAGTAAACACTTTTTTTCAAACATCACAACTCAAAAGTACTAAAAACTATTGACAGGTCGAGCACTTACTTCCATTTCACTGTGCCGCGGAATGTTTCGATGATGGACGGGTGTCTGTAAGAAGCCGACCAAATGACAAACCCGTTTTCGCACTATTTTTTGAGAAACTCGAGGACAAGAAAAAGCTCAGGTAGTTTTTTTTTAGATAGCTTTTTTACTGTGTCAAATTGTATTTGTATTCTATTTTTTTTTAAATTAATTTCATGTCTATTCGGCATTTTCAAACTGTGCCCCCAATTTTTCACTTTTTTGAAAGATTTGTATAACATTATTGGGAGACCTAAGATCAGGGAAAGTTGACAAAATTTATCTGAATTTTATTTCAGAGTTAGATTCAACACGGACACACCATACGCTCCTCCAACTACAAAAAAGATTAGGTATACTTTTATTTCACTCCACTGATCAACATGCGAAACTTAAACGAATTGCAAGGCAATTCGAAGAAATAATTTTTTTTGAACAAAATCTTTGCATAAAAAAGTGCATTTTAGACGAGTTAACACTGACATACCATATCGTCCACCGACAAGGGAGGCTCTCTTTGCCATATTTCAACAAGAGCAAACATTTTCTAGCCTTTTTCACAACCTGATAGATTTTATATTCGATTCGGACCAACCCGATGTGATAGAAGACAACAGTAGATTCATAGAGTTCAAAGAATCTTTTCTGCCGAGGACTAATAGCTCGTCAATGGCAGCTGCTGTGAGTCAACCAAGCGCAACGCTAGCGGCTAATGATTTTTGAAGTTTAGGCTGTTCGAAGTGACAGAAGTGATGAATTAGCGTATATAGAACCACATTATAGTACAGCTGGCCCGTTGAGATCTGAAGAAACGAAGGTGAGGCTTGCATTATCTTGGAACAATAATTTTGCATCGAACATTTGAATAATCCAATACTTTCGAGGGATTTGACTGTCTGATCTAACAATAAGCTGGATAAGATCGGCGCAAAATTCTTTTGTTTGTAAGAAACGCCTTCCTATACATGTTTTTTCTTCAAATATAACAAGTCTCATCTAATCGCATTTGCGACAAATTATATATTGGTTTCAGAAAAGAAAGAAAACCTAAAATCTTTACTCTTCGTTAAGACATTGGCAACTCGATTTTTTGATCAGAAAAAGGAGGTCACAGAAACAAAACCGCAACTAGAAGTTTCAACTGTGCTCTTAGGGTTGATTATGGGAGAATCTCAGAATTCTTCCTTGAGTTAGATGATTTCTTTATCACGTTATATATCGCCACGATCTGGCAAAAATAATTCTGCTCTTAAGCCTTGAAATGTCGTTTCTTCTCCAAACTTGCATTGATCGAATTTTTTATAATAGGAAGAAACTACAAATTTTCAATAAATTTATCAGAACTATGACCCATGATACTAAATGCGCATCGGAATCATGCCAAATACCTCCAGGAAGCACTACTCTGCCGTCAGTGTGAATCATCGCTGCATGATGATCTCTTTCAAACCATGGATGGATTTTGGTGTAGAGAATGTATAGCCTCATTTGTGATACATCAACTGCGGCTCAATCAGTTTCCTCTTCAAATTCCGGTAATATACTTTCATGACGAATTTTCAAGGTTTCTTGGAAAAGAAACTCATTCCAGATTGTATCCTCAAAATGCTCTTCTATCTACCTTCTGTATGCAATTTTACCTGTACCTGTAATCTCACTGATAATCAAAGTAAGTGATTAATCGATTAATCACCTGGATAATTTACCACTTGTAAATTTTTAGATGTCCTATCGTTTCCTCTATTCGTTAGATCACCCTGACTGTGTATTTACAAACTGCCCCAGATGCTCATTACCCCAGACTGTACCGAAAGGGAATGGTAGGAAACTTTTCGAAGAAAAACTAGTCACTGAATTTTCAACTAGATTTCAACACATGCTCATGTACGGACTGCGGATGCTACTGGTGCTATCTATGCGGGTGGGAACCACATTGGCCCATGACATGTGCAGAATACAAGGAATGGGACAAGAAATGGAGTGTTCAGTGTAATTTCACTTTTCTGTTCCAGTGACTCTTACACATAGTATTTCGTATCAAACAATTCATAGATATTTTATTAAATTATCCCAAAAATTTTGTCCGTTTCTCTGATCGGTCACAGAAACTCTCAGAACAACTGACGAGCAGCTAGGTATCATTCAACTCAGATTTTTGTAATCTTCTAAAAAGCTGAGTTTTCTCAATGCATACTTGCTTTGCTATCATAGTTGTTTGAGAGCCTCAAAGGCAGCGTCCCAGCAAAATTATAAGTCGGAATGTAGGGGGCTGCAATAGCACCCCCCCCCCCCAACTAATCTATCAGTGAAGTCTGGAGCGAAAAAGTGCGTCTAGGAAGCCCCAAACCCACTTTGAAAGTTTTACGGACTCCGCCCCTTCGTTCCGGACCCCGCCCATTTACAAGTATTTTGCAGCAAGTCCGGAGATGGAGAGCTTTGAAAAAAGCTCATTTTCAGCGATTCCGTGCGCTCCCAAATATGGGTTTAGTATAACGCGAAAGCTCCGAAAAGATGAAAAAGCATAGAGCGAGAGTTTGTGTCGGGACGCCGTAAACAATGACGACAAATTTTTCTTGCTCAAAAATAATTTATCCTAATGTTTGTAGCTATTGTGTAGAGTAAGCCTTTGGCAACATTATACTCAGTTGGAAATTTCAAAATTCTCAATTGTAATAATATATACTCTGGTAAAACTCGTGGCTAACAATAAGGCCAAGATTGTTGCATGGATTTATCACGCTGACGTTCTTTTTTTGTTTTTCTGTAATGATTGTTGAAAGGATTCCGAATTCTTGAGTACTTGCAGCGCATAGGCGTATCACAAATTCTGAAAAGCTAATTTTTAAGCAATTTGATTGTTTTCAGAAATGCTGTCTAGTAACATTCAAGGTTCAACGCGCAATTATACTTGGAAGACTTTTAGGTTTTTGCTGCTGTTGTCTGTTTCACAAAATTACTAAAGATAGAAATTTCTAAATTATTCTTCAAAACTTCGAACAGCAAATCAGAGTAACCTAAAAGCACTTGCACACAGTCCGAGCTTGCTCCATGTGCAACATATCGGAACTTTTGCAATACTCTAAAACAAACATTTTGAAACTTCGAGCATGTAGAAATGATGGGTTGAATTTTACGTAACAGGTGCTCAGATTATTATAGCTCGAATATGTAACCATCAGAAAAGGAAAAAAGCTGTATTGAACATTCAAACACATTTAGCTCCTTATTGAAGTAATTTTATAGTTGTTAGAAAGCAAAAACTCTTGAGACAGCTCAACAGCTATTTGATGCTTCTAGACTGGTACGAAAAATACAATCTGGATAAAAATGAACGACTTCTGCGTATAAAGTGTTACTGCGGCCTACTATGTAAGTATCTCAGTTTTTTGCCTCCCTCCTTTTATAATGAATTGATTACAAGGCACCTGAAAAAACGGCTAATGGAACCGAATGTCCCAGCAGGAGGTGTGGGTGCCGTTACAAAGATGGCCTTTCTCGATATTGGTTTTGTTACTATCAATGGGCGTGGCAGTATCGAGTGCATCACAAACGGGGCCTAAAAGAGGTTGTGCAACTTGAAATAGTAAGTAAATCTAGCGATTACTTTTTAGGGGGAAGATGCGCAACCGGTATTTCTGGAACCGAAGAAGCTGATCAAGAAAGAGTATGCTGATGTAGGTTTGAGATTACTGCTATCAGGATACACGTCAGGTTTTGAGTGTTCAGATATGTGCTGCTGCTAGAAACGAGAGATTCAATGCCACAAAGGGGGAAGAAGTTGAGAAAGTTGTCAACGATATTTTTCCCGTTGATGATGCTCAAGGCCTTGTTGAACTGAGGAAACTGGTAGGTATAAACCTCTTCGATCAACTTTTTTTGAATCTTAAATCATAAAATTAGTTTTAAAAGTGAAATAGTAAAAGGCGACAAAAATTATGAATAGAGTTTTTGTTTCACATCATATTATGCTGATAGAACTTACTGGTTAAAAAATTCCAGTCTTTTGGCACCTCAGTCGATGCATTGCATAAAGGACTGGTGATGTTTTTCCCGTGCACTTCTTCCTGTTTTTTCTGATGATACATAATCACGCTCGATGAGGAAGAAGCTAATTTACGAGTAGAAAAAAAATTTTGGTCAAAATTGCAAACTTTGTACAATATAGGCGTGCTGATAAAATAGAATAGAGCAAGCTTAGATAGTAACAGTACTTATACAAACAAATGACCAGCTATTTTGTTTGTTGTCAGGTCAGTGAATTTTGATATCAAAAAAAGAGAGAACTCAAAGGTAGAAGTCGAAAATTGGTCGTTTGCGTCCTTGGACTTTTGCCTTGAAATCTAATTTCTATAAACATCAAAATGGTGACGATAGTTTATAGAGCAGACTTATATCCTTTCAAAAGCATGTAAATACCCTACCAAGTACGAAGCAAATTGGGAAAAAAATCTAAGAACAGAAAATGCGGAACTTATTGTGCAATCTAATACATATTTTTATCAAAGCGAGAGCATTTATGCGCAGCAGTTGGTATTCACTCAATCGCTTTTATATCTCATTCACAATGTCGACGTAGAACTTTTATTTCTTCACAGTTTATAACTATTTCAAATGACGGCGTGCTCCTCATGATGCGATGCATTCTAATATGCAAAAAAGCTAATCATTCTTGATTTTAGATTCTCTTTATGACTGAAAACTGCACTGCCTGGCTGTATCTACATAGGCACGAAGACAATGAGAACCTGAAGCATGCAGTTTCTCAACTCTACAGAGCTTACCTGACATTCAAAGAACAAATTCTCAATCTAGGGTGAGAACCGTTTTCTGATTTGCACTTCGGTAAGTTCATGGATTTCAGAACTGAGCTAAATGTGCGAAGCGAGCATCTGAGACAAGCCGTTGATGAGATGGTCATATTGTTTAACCGAAAACTGAGAAAGGACGAGTATATCGTTATAACGTAAATTGATGATATCATTATGCAAGTGATGCAAATGCTTCAATGAAGTCTTTGTAAATGTAAATGTAAATGTTAGAATCTACCCATTATTTTTCAAATGCGTTGTTTATATTATCGGAACCTCCTAAAATCATACAGCGTGCTGCTAGTGATCTTACATGGTATAATGTTCTATTGAAACACAAGCAATGCTCGATTAACTCTCAAATTCTCAGAGACTATCTAGAATTTTATAACTGATTTTAATGTAAACAGTTCCCTTAATAAGCAATATTCTTGATAGTAGTGAAATCTGTAACTATCAACAATTACAGAGCCACAAAATGATTGCAAGAAACATTTCTAGACTATAACAGAACTGTTACTGTGCAGAATTGGCTGGCAAATTACTCCTTACTACGAGAAAGGACACAATTCCGGCTCCAAGAGAGGGATCTTCTTGGAGATTTCTTGGCAAAGCTTTGCCCTCAAATGCAGCGTCAGGCTGTTCACTCAAAGGAAGCAAATGACAAGCGGATTGAGAAGAAGCCCGCTGCATCAGATGTTCTACATCTCAACGGAATTCAACTCCCCCCCCCCCACCCCCCTCCCCGGGGGGCCTCCTGAGTGTAGTGGCCATTTTAAAACACGGTTAACTATTTTTCAAAAGTGAAACAGCTACCTCTTTTTGTATTCATATAAGACAATGCTCCTCTTCTGCCCATATCATGAGTTTTGATCAAGATGATCAAGAATCACTATGATTTAGGAGCCAGCCAAAATCTCGTTCGTCCCATTTCCCGCTTTTGAAGTTGTGCTTCCAGCAACCACTGCGCAGAAGAAAGAAAACGAAACCAGCCCTAGTCACTTTCACAAAAATTACGTTTGGCTATCGAGCTATAAATGGCTAAAATTTTCTTCGGAGGTGAGTTAATGGGGTGTGGCACCTCAGAAATGCTGGGCTGCCACACCTTTTAGGGGTTGCGCCATACCCCCATCAATTTACCTTCAAACCATCTAAATAACTGCGTTTCTATAAGATTGCTACTGCTGAACATCTTCCTTACATAATAGAAATTCCAACTGAATACGTTTCCTTCAGGAAAAGATATAGCCGTTCTTACCCATGCAAATGAAAAACACCGCACAATATTGGGTACGGTAACATGCTAAGTGCGCTACTATGTGAATCGCAAGGAAAGGAGGGGCGACTAAATGTATTCGATGGTTTGAACCTCGTGACTTTCACAAAAGTGATTCGAGCTGATTGGTCTTATCTAGTCTGAGATACTGAAAGCCCAAAATGGGATAAATGAGATTTTGGGTAGTTTGGAGGTTATTTTGGGGAGTTCCTAGCGTGAGCAAAGAAGTAGTAGTTCCTTGTATTTTCTGTGGCATACGACACCCCACGCTTGATCTGATCATGACTTAGCCTTGGCAAATACATACTTGATTGAGAAGACCAACCACCTCATGTTTGGTCTTCTGCCAGCTAAGGTCGCGAATCGCAGATAGACTTGTGGAGTGCACGATACAACGAGATGATGTACATGGAAGAGAAAGTCATTTGGGCGAAGACTGCGTGCCGTAACATCGGCTACTGATATATTAGATTTCAATATATCAATCAACAGGAGAAGGAGGGTTATGGCAGAATGGAGTAGGCATCAAATGGTGAAAACTCAAGAACGGTTATGGAATTGGGCATCCAAGATTGGTGATCCAAACCACTTCTGGACGATTCTGTTTGCAACATCCATCAAATAACTGTCGATGTACTTGGGTGCACGAAGCCAGGACGACTAAGCTTGACGGGAGACCTGGTGGTGGGATAAAGCGTAGATAGTGGTAAAGAGCAAGCAGATAGTGTACAAACCTTGGCAAAAAGGACAGAAGATGCACGCCATAAGTATTTAGAAAAAAACGTGAAGCCAATAGGAAAGTCAGAAGCAAAAGAATTTTGTAACAAAACTGTACGATAGACGGTACTGGCAAATTTGAACGAGATGTCCATCGTACCGCTATACGAAGAGCAAGAGCCACAAAAGACGTTGAAACTGTCACAACATCAAGGACACGCCGAAAGGACTCTGAGGAAGCCGCAGGAGACTAATGAAAGGTGGAGAAAGCACTTCAGACGACGTCAACCAACAGCGAATATGCGTCCATCGTAACAGCCGAACCTGTGAGTAGACCGATACTAGCAATTTTAGAGAGAAAGTTTGTACCGCCGTGATGAAAACGAAGCACAGCAAGGCAACAAGGACTCGGCGACATCCCCAGCGGTTTCTAGAAGGAGTGCGGACAGGCTGGAGTTTCATGGCAACTCGTCTTCTAAACCAAATATTAGAACGGCGGGAACTCCACCATACCGGTGGAAACCTACTGAGGCGCACGAAACCCGCAAGAGCGAGACTTAACAAGAAAACGTGGTAATGGAGCGGCGAATACAGTTTGCAATAATGAATAAGAAGTTAGATTACAAAATTTGGCAGAACACCCGAACAAAAGGTGATCACCAGAAGTACCTTGACGAGAAACGTGCGACAAAAAGAAGCGTCAGAAAAGGGACAGAAATGTATGTATCGAAATGTACAGAAGCTGCACGGTCACGAAGGAGATGAGGTATCTACTGGATCACCAGAAGCAGAGCAAAATGCCTCGAACATTTCCACGATACCAAATATAACGACAGAATGCTGAGAAGACCGCAGAAGATGAATGAATGATAACGTAACGGACACACCTAGCTGAGACTGCGTTCGCGTTATGAATTACACCGACAACACCAGTTCACTGACCGGTACCGGTAATCACGAAGGCGAAGTCCGCATTACGATAATTAGGACGAAGAACAGCAAGGCAAGCGGCCCAGATGACATCTTCAACGAGCTTTGAAAAGATTTTGGCGAAGATGACGCGACTTCTAAAACCAGATAGTGGAATCTAAAACCATTTCAAGTGACTGGTTTCTTCTACATTGGTACTGTCATAAGAAGCACGACGGTCCCAATGTGGAAGAAAGGCGACGTAGCTGACTGCTCGGCGTACCGGCCCATGCCATAGTCTAATGTTCGAAACAATATATGTTTCATTTGTGAAATTGTGACGATGAGTTGACTGCGGTCCTTAAGACGCAGGAACATAAAACACCCACACAAAAAGGCATCACCTCAACGCCCAGCTCAGTCACTTTCAGTATTTGAGTACTATCTTATGCAAGCAGAAAAACTGTTGAGTAGACATAGAAACCAAGAAATGGGAGTGCATGCGTATTGCGCGGTCGCGCCATCGTCACGATTTCGAATGCCCTATAGGGACGCGACTACAAAGTGTAGTTCTGGCACCAAAACAACTTTGATTCGTGAAAGACTGCAGTACAGCAGCTGCCATTCGTACAGTTAAAATGATAGACAGAAGCAGGAGAAGCAATGTGACCTCCAGCGGCATTCTTGTATCTGGAGAAGGCGTTCGATGAAGCAACACTACATAATTTGGAGGGCACTGCGGGGACAAGATGGCAGAGATTACGTCCAGTGGATCAGAATGATACGTAAGGATGCCAGCGAAGTACGAACGGGCAGGATGTACAGACGACTTCCACTTGAATGCTTACGTACATCAATGACCGTACTCTCCCTTCTACTCTTCGCCACAGTGATGGCCGCGATAGTCAGTAGCTTCTTCATACACCAACCCCCATGGACTGTCGTGTCACAGATCAAGTGCTCGGCTCGGAGTAGAGAAAACGAACCGGATGTCAGTGGAGATCCTCAATGGAAGACGAAGAGGTAGATCGAAGATTCGATGGACACAAAGACTAATAACAAGCAGATGCCGTATGTGCAAGACTAAAAAACAGAGCACTGCTGCTAATTTGATTATAATAAGTTCTTCTTGCTGATATTAACATTATTCAAGCCTTAGTTTTATGCGGAAATTCTAAGAAGTTTATGGGTCCTACATGATTAATTACATGCGATATGGGTTTTTCAAAAGTGAGTCTGTCTATCAGACTCTAATCAAAGCACTTATTTCGTTACCGTTCATGCTTTTTGCCCAAATCAAGAAATTATTGGTTATTATTTCAGTGTTATTAGTACAGAACATGAAGATCAATAGCATATCGCGGATCGCGATCAAGAGAAACCAGCAGACATTTCTTCAATGTAAAAATGTGTTATATAGTTTCAGTGTTTGTTTATGTATGCTTTACTCATTGCCCTTTTTGATGATCATTCTTATTGTGACTTCCCTCCCGATAAAGCAGTTATTCAACGCTAGTGTTTTGGGCACGACATTTTGGACGGCTGAAGCAGGATAATCGGCGCTGAATCAACACTTTACTACACAAACCAACGATTCGATATCCATGATACTCTACAGATCGTTTGACTAGTCGCTGCATAGCTGCCACTAATCCACGTATTATCGCTTGCGACATTTCAGTTCTGAATGTGACGCATTTGTACAAGCTTCTTAGCTTTTGTCGTTTATATAAAGCCTAAGGCATCCTAAGGCTAAGCTAGGTATGGTATAATCTACACAAAGACCTTTCCTCAGTGGCTTTATTAACACACTGACGACCGGTTGACACACATGGTGTGTCAAGCAATTACTACCGCGTGGGACCGCTTGACACACCATGTGTGTCTCATTCCACGAGCTTTCCTTTGCACTGAGTCTAGGGATGACTTTTACCTTTTTTTAAAATCAAACTTTCAGATCTATTTTAGGTGTACTGTAGATGGCAATATGCGTAATTATAGTTGAAAAATGTGGGCTGGTCTGTGAAAGGCCTTGGTCCCAGAAGGCAGATAACTAAATATCTGCATGGTCGTCAATGTGTTAATAAGTCAAGTGTAAACAGTAGATTAATCAAAAAATTATCTGGGTGTATTAGACTATGAAAACCTGCTTGATAAGATAATCAGTAAGCAGCTAACTTATCGCAAACCTCAAATTGCTAATTAGAAGAAAAACATCCCTTCTATTTACTGCATTTCAAACTTCATAAACACCGTATCAAATGTTATGATTGGTACCTTTATTAGTAGCGCAAAATCTTAGTTAGCAATTTAACCACAATTTTACGTTTTTAGGACCCATTTCCGAAGTACATTACGGTTTGCGACCTATCATATATGATGGGAATCTTGCTGGAGATAGTTATAGGTACCCCATGAAGACCAATGCAGCGAATGTGTAATTTGACATGGTCTTCCGAGCTGCAAGAGTTCGATTTGCCCGGCCTTTGATGTCGCTGAATGCCTACTAAGAGGCCTCTCCTCTTCGCAGATTCCAATGAAACTTTATCTCCATGACGTCTGTAAATATGAGAACTACGGAAAGACTCAAGCGATTAACCACATCCCCACAACCGAGGATGGAGTCTGCTCGATGTCTTAGCACTTCTACTTTTTTGCAGTAAATCCGGTCACTGCTCATTCAAGCAAAAGTACGATTCAGTCGAAAGCTGGATGAAGACTTCATATAGGGTCGCAAGAATAAGGGTCGTATAGGGAAAAACCTACACATCTAGGCTTTTGCTTTGAGTGGGCCAAGCTTTTCAAGCCGTTTTTCCTAACAAGTAGATGTTTTCCATCAAGTTGATTATGTGACATCGTGTACTCAGAAAAGCGTAATAGCAGTCCATGACTATTACTATATTTTACTTATGCCCTAGGAGGGGCGTCCAAAGAAGTTTTCAAGAAGAAGGTATTGACGGAAAACGAATGATTGTGGTAAAGTCAACCATTTTTTGGGGGATTTGGGACTTATGCTTGATAGCGATCGCGCTTTAACTTTCTCTTTATATCCTCTCTCCTCAGCCTCTTCCAGTCCTGTACTGAGGGATATTTACTTGTCATCCCACATATAAGATCAATGCCTACAGGTATCTGGCTTGCATGCGTGCCTATGCCTTGTGTACCTTGGGTCTGTATGAAGAACTTCAAAGCGAACTTGGTATGGCGAGGAAGAGCGGAGGCGAGGGGAGGGGGGGGGGGGGGTAAGTAGCATGCTGATTGCGAAAGCGCAATAATTACAAGGAATAAACGAATTTGCCAAAATGCATTGAAACACTTAGTAAATGAAGTTATAAACTGAAAAAAAACGTTACCTTCTGACATCAGAGTTTTAAATGGTTTTGTTCTTCTATATTAAGTTAAGTGTTCTTTAGTCGAAAAAAGAAATTGAATGAAGGCATCATTCCGCAGGCGAGTGATATTTTCTTTGATATGTGCTCGTCTGCAAGTGACGAACTAGTTACATTTTATTTTCTCCAACATGCTCTCAGCCTGCAAATGACGAACTAGTAGAAGGAACTTTACTTAACATACTCTTTATCCTATGTTAATGAATGCTCGTATTTGAAAATAACAAGTAATTCAGGGCACCCACAGCGCATGGGTAAAAAACACTGAGATGAGCAAGCCCTAACATCAGCTTTTATCACAGTAGCCAGGCAGTTAGATTTCTTCCTAGCGAAATGATTTCGTGCTTTCATTAAGAACATTCTGCAACAGTGCGAATAAGATTGCTGATTTTGCACTTTATTTTCCCCACAGGATCCCTTAGAGATTTCGAAAGATTGCTTGCTGATGGAAAAGCTTATTAGATACGGTTGGAATGCGGAGGAGATACCAAAATACGACTGCTGGTCAGTGTCACTCACCTGAATTTCCCGTTGTATGACATATTTCAACATCTTCGTAAAATCCGCAGGAATTCTACCGGGCAACATGGTAAAGGAAATTATGTTTTGGGAATCTGCTCAATTATATATGGTCTGATCGCGGAGGTTGGAATTGAAAAAAGGCAAAATCAAGCTTTATCAATAAAATTCCAGTTGCTCTATACATTAGCCTTACTAATCATGTTGAAAAAGGAGTATCGCCAGCTATCCTGCTACAAGATCATGACGGCTCTGGGTGAGTTGATAAATCTTTCGCTTTCCTTTGGATGCTTCTGAATACCTCTTATTTTCCACCAGTCCTAAATCTGGAAGCGTTTTACAGGTTTTTACGATATGGCAGCCATCGCTATCAACTCGCTGGCAACAGGACTTCTATGGTTGAATGGCGCTAACTACTGCTCACATCCGACCCTTGTCTATGTGCTTGGTACGATTGGACTAAGTAAGTTGTGCAATGTCCTCTCATCTCTTCTCAGTTCAACGCCATGTTGGACGCATGCCTGGCTGTTACCACGCTGTCGCTTGTTGAATCATGCTTTTGGTAAAGTAAAGCATAGGGTCACACTGACAAGAATTGCACTGCACGTTTGATTTGATATGGCCAGTTATTGAGTGAGTCAGTCATCTCGTATCAAGTTTCAATGCACGTACCCTTTGATCGCGCAAACTCATTTTGATGCGTTAGCCGTTTTGTAGCATTTTCAGAAGAACTTTTGCTCAATTACTCGCTCTGATTCGCGAAAAAGAGAAAGGACGCTAAAAAATACTTTTCCTAATAAAAATTCTAGCATGACATTTGGGAGACACGAGCAAAATGAATGGTATGAACGATCAAACATATGGTAATACGAGTGCGTCACCTCCGCTTCGCGGAGGTTCGCACACTCTGCTATCCGTATGCCTTTCTCCTGCTCGCATGATGATGACTTTGGAACTTACCGCGCGATGCTGAACATCACCAATGAATTGTAAACAACTGTTCATTTTTGAAGCATCATCCATGTAAGATCGGTACTTTTAAGAAATGAGACTTTTTTGCTTAGGAACAAATGCGAATTTGAACGGATTACTAAATTTTTTTAGATTGGTAATAGTCATAAGGATAATATTCACCTTGGCTACACTTCCGTGAAAATCTTTTCAGTTTTTAGGTAAAACCTTGCCAAATGGACTATCTACGCGACCACCATTTTTGGCGCTGTTTTCGCAAAAAAGCAACTTTTTTAGCATTTTTTTTGGGTTAGAATTCATAGGGCGCAGATAAAATTGTCAGAATAAATCATGACTTTGCAAAAAGTCGAATTAGCGACCTAGTTTTGCGTGCCAAAAGCCGCGTGAACCCGATTGGCGGGCAAATTTTAAAAGATCTTCTTATCAAATCGGCTCCTTGTGGGTGGTAGACCTACATGCTGGTACGGTATGTTATGCAAAATTGTAGGTCGATAGCTTGGCTGCAGCTTCCTCTATGAATTTCGTGACAGACAGACAAACACACACACGCGCGCACAAAAAAGACAGACATTTAGCGCTTTATTACAAGTCATGATGATAGAAAATGACTTGCTAAAGCATGAAACGCTGTTGCAGATCTAACTTTTACCTCTGCGGGACGGCTTTTTGGAAGAGGTAGCCTTGTTCAAGCAAAAATTCACAAGACACTTATGCACTCTTCAGACGGCTCGAAGCTGATACAAATATTTCAGCTGATTGTTACTCTCTACCAGTTCTTTGGCACAATATCTTCGGCACACATTTCAGAGTTTGGCAACCGTAATTACCGTCAACGTTCAGCTTTTTTTCAGCCTTCTCACTATGCCTTGGGTTTAATGACTGAACGAGGTTTACCTTAGTCATTGGGTTCATCGCAGCCAAGAATAAAAAATTAGAAAGGTGTACCACCACAAAAAGCAAACTCGTGTCTCAACGGTTCCTCTTAGAAAGGTGTGGAATGCGTCGTATCCACTTTTCTCTCATCTATTTCATCTCGCTGCCGATCAGTTCACCATTCATGGATGAGTGGATCAAGTATGACGTGCGCCTATGAGGCTATCAAACCACGTACACATAAAAGAGCCGAGGTACATTGAACGCAATCGGTGCCCTCGGATCCCCGTTCTGTACAACTAAAGTGAATTTTGTGCTTGTGGACCTGATGTTATCGACATTTCACTCTTCTCGAAAGATACTTTCAGTCTCTGTTGGCGTTGCCAAAATGTTAGCCAATAAAAATTATCCAACCTTTCATTTACGCTCAGTCAATTAACCTAAAAACGTGTAATGATAATTTTCTGATCGCACTTGCATTTAGCTTCGAAGAGGGGCCGCAATTATCCCTGCCTGTCTCATTGCAAATAGCCACCCTCGGCTCAAATTGCTACCCCTCTGAACTTCTAAAATGTAGTCCCTGCTTCGGAAGTGATATCGCGGGACATCAGCAAATCATAGCACTTTGGAAACATCTAATATTTTGGAAGTCAATTCTCGAATTTGATGAGACCTGTAAGACGGAAAAACTAATAAAAGCTCACTGATATTTTTCGGACAAGAATGTTTTCGTACACTGTAACACATGACATACGCTATTAGGTTGTCGGGTAATTTTTGTTATACTTCATTATTATTTCTAAAAAAACTTTCACTTTTGAAATTTCTTGTGTTCAAAGAGTGTTGATGGGGTGCAAAGGTCTACCCACTGGTGCTGTCAGATCCGTGATCCGTGCGCAAAACTCCCACTTCATCGGTGAGAATAAGTTTCATAGACATTTTTGTCAACGGGATGCCATTCTTCCAGGTGCTCAGGGACGGAGCGGGCGATGTAGTAATCGGGAGCAGGGGGAGGGGGTATGGTCCATAGTTGTTAGCACATATGGGGAATGGCACAATCATGTAACATATATTTTATGTAATGTATACAGTGCTGGCCAAAATTATAGGTCCACTCTAAAAATTGCCATAACTCACTCTGTTGTAACCGAAATTTTTCAAAATTTGGTACAGACGTGTGTTTACCAGCCTACTATCAGTCTTCAAAACGGTTCTCGTTTTCGTTTGATTATTCAAGAAAAAATTAGAAATTTTGAAAAAAGCAGTCTTGAAGGCTGGCCAAAGTTATAGGTCCACCTGGAGTTTTTACTGAATAAAGCACTTCTTAGCTCCCGAATTTTTTTAGGTAGGCACACATCTAAAAACGTTAAACAGCTGCTTTAGTCAAGCTGTGTCATACCTCCACAAAGGACGGATTATCTGCTTTTTTGCCTTGAAGATGCTCTCACATGTATTTCGCTCCACAAACCTGCGTTGAGTAAGAAATTTTGCAGTTTCTCAGTTGGATCGGAAAGGATGGGGTTTCATCTATCTTCTGGATGCTTTTTGACGTGAGCATTGAGGAAAAAATCTGACTTTTTGCTGCTGATGCAAATCTGACATTGACTGTACTGCAATCCTGAGCTCAAATTTCTGCTTTCAAACTTCTTTTACAATGTTCCCAGAAGCATTGAGTAAAGTAAAGGCATTGTTTCTGTAAAGGGGAGTCCGTATAGCATAGTTACAACTTTCTAGAGATCCTAGCATTGGAGTATAATTACTGAAATCACTCTGCAGAAACTGATTACGACAAGCACCAAAGCTATTTGTGGCTCTGACCAAAATTTTCAGAAGAATCATGTGTTAACATACACTACAAGCTGTATCCACTATTTAGTAAATAATTGCTGTCAAAAATCTAACTAAGGTAGCACTTGGAAAGCTATTTTGGATCGCGTAACACCATTATTACGTTGCCCACACAACTCATGTTTCGAAAAAGAAGCAAGGCAGCTTTGTGGACACTTGCGAGCATGGCGAACAGCTTTATTCTTGTGTAAAAAATGCTTCTACAATATCTCGAGGTTATAATGACAATGCATAAAGGGTTTTAGGGCAGAAACTGAGGCTGCGATCTCTGCCGATTAATCCGATGTCAGATTTGCTTCAGCAGCAAAAAGTCGGATTTTTTCCTCAATGCTCACGTCAAAAAGCATCCAGAAGATAGATGAAACGATCCAGCTGAGAAACTGCAGAATTTCTTACTCAACGCAGGTTTGTGGAGCGAAATACATGTGAGTGCATCTTCAAGGCAAAAAAGCAGATAATCAGTTCTTTTTGGAGGTATGACACAGCTTGACCAATGCAGCTGTTTAACGTTTTTGGATGTGTGCCTACCTAAAAAAATTCGGGAGCTAAGAAGTGCTTTAATCAGTAAAAACTCCAGGTGGACCTATAATTTTGGCCAGCCTCCAAGCCTGCTTTTTTCAAAATTTCTAATTTTTTCTTGAATAATCAAACGAAAACGAGAACCGTTTTGAAGACTGATAGTAGGCTGGTAAACACACGTCTCTACCAAATTTTGGAAAATTTCATTCACAACAGAGTGAGTTATGGCATTTTTTATAGTGGACCTATAATTTTGGCCAGCACTGTATAGATACACTGTAAGTACAATATATATAGATCTAGTATAAGAGTTTCCAGTTTTTTTAGTACTTCCTAGGAGTATAATACTATAACGCACTGTCCTCGAAATACCTATACCGCAATCCTACAGTAAGAAAGAGAAAACGATATTTCCCTCCACTTTGTAAATTTAAACTAAAACTAGCTCTACAGAATAATACTTGAAGCTTTTCGAAAAACTTCATAATAAGAGAGTTATCAACAATCAAACAGTAGCACATTTTTTGGAACACACTGTACATACACAATTACAATCGGTGTCAACCAGGTGCTCCCCTTTCCTTAGTGTCTACGTATCCGCAGCGCGTGGACATTTCACAGCGATTTGCGATCGATGCGGCATCTGAACGCTCATGCGATACGCCCGCGGACCCGTCACGGGATTCTAGCGTTGCGTTTGAGCTAATAAGCAAGGGATGACAGAGACGACATCGTTGACGTCAGCTGTAAACCCACAGGAGAAAATCAAAGCAAATATGATTTTCTCCTGTGGGTTAGAGTAGAATAGAGTGTTTACAAAGTTGTCGTAGACCCGCTAGTATTTGTGCTTGCGTACGCCTTGCCATGCCCTACATGCCGAGCAAATTCAAAGATTCTGTAGAGCTACTAGAATTCCGCAATTTTACAAAAAACGGAAATTATCCGACAATCTAATATACACAGACCAACATGATATCACTATTACTTTCAGGCCTGTGGTGCGGAGCATGTCTCAACTGCCTCATACTCGTGATCAATCGGATACTTGAAGTGACTGATAGGCGCTGGTTGTACATAGTGAATTTGGAATCTCACGCGATGAAAAGCAAGTGATTTACAAGTTTTTGTTTCAGATTTACGGTAATCATCGAACATACGTTGTGCTTCTTCTACCATTCATCTATAGTGTTTGCTTTTGTTTTTTCACGCCTCCTATGCTTTTCAACTCCAGCTATATGGCATGGTTCTTCGACACATATGCACCCGGTCACGAGGCTGATGAGGTTTGAGCTGAATCATGTGGTTCATTATGCTTGTTTAGTTTTATCAACCTTATCAAACTGTTTCCTTATTTCAGTACTATAATTACCCTTATACAGTGAATAATTTGCTAGTTGTAGCAATAACTTGTTTACTGTATATTCCATACGCACGGCGCGTACTTTCGCTTTCAAGATCTACAATGCGGTTATCGTGGGCTCAAAAATCCGTAAGTAGCAGAAGCACGTAATCTAATTCTCCCACGAGAACAAAGTTCAGTTTTTCATTCAATGTACTTCAATATGTACTGCAAACTTCGTAGCGGCTTTGAGCTATGTTTATATGCAATTTTTTGAGACAACTTCGTATATTGCACTTCTTGGGCACATATTTTGGCAGTTAGGACACGGTAACATCTAAAATTCACATATTTTTCTTAACCATTATAGATTTGTACTTTGAAAATAATTTTTACCCTCTTATTTCAGGTTTCCCGGCGATCGTTTATATCGTTCTCAACAAAACTATTCACAGGGAGGCTCTATATTTACTAGGAATTAGGAGGCCATCAAATTCAACTCAAGTGACCCAAGTATCAAAGATTTCAAGAAATACTACACAGAATAGTCACGAACTTTTCCATGGCTAAGATTTAGATCTGCAAACATGTCAGCTGATAGATGTAAATCTGTTCCCATGATATTCTAATCTTTGTGTGGCAGATAGGTTCTAGACTTTCATTCGCATCAGTCTGCTAGTAACGACTCATACTCGTCATTGGTTATAAGAGAGTAGAGTCAGTGCACTTTGCTATCCTGCACTAAAAAATGTCAAGTCTGTACCACATCATCCTTACTACTAACGTCTTTACGATGATGTGAGCGAACATTTACGTCTTCTAAGCAGAGGGAGTAGGAAAAAGCGTATTTACGTCGAATACCAGCAAGTTTGCATTAGCGGGGATTACTTGGAGTATAATGTATGCGTTTTCAAGGAATAATGCCACGCCTGTCGCAAGAACGCCATTTCATTCTTAGAACTTATGTACCTTTTCAATAAATCTTAATGTCTCACTCAAAAAGGAAAACCGGGAACAACGTTGCTAAGTCAGTGCACACCTGAAGTACTTACCAACAGATCGAGGGAAAGTCAACAGAGGGAACTATTTCATGACTCAGGCTAATATAAGGTTTCGTACCCACAATGCACCTTGACATTGACCGAGTACATGCAATGCCCTAAAAGGTTCAATACGATAGATTTTTCAAAGACATTGTTTCAATGTTGACTCGCTAGAGTACTATGGCTTGCAAAAAGAAAGTGTGCTCCTTATTTAGGTCTCATATTCAAAGCATAACTATATGCCCAATGATAGAACTGCTTAGCCGGATGTAGGACGAAACCAGTCTTGCAGCCTTGAGAAGATGTGCTAAACCATTGCGAATTGGAACCGTATCCAATATCCATTCAAATTGAGTTATAAGATCATAAGGTATTTCTGATGCAAAAAAACGAGCGGTGCGGTCAAATGAAGTGTACAAGCAGAGAATGGATATATTGCAAAGCAACGCTAAGAAAGCAGAAACGCAATCAGCATCCAAAAAACCATCTGTTCGCAAATTAAGTTTATTACCGTACTTATACTTATACTTACCTGTTACCATACTTATCGTAAGAATGAAGCAATGCTGCGCCAGGTTTAGCTTGCAACACAACACAAATTGTTATGTGACAATATATGACTGCGTACAGGAAAACCTCGATAGTTTACTAGCAAGGTATTCAAAATACAGCGAAAAGAGCAATGACAAGAATCGGAAATTTGTGAACTGACGCGAGATACTTTATGATTTTGTTTAAAGGCAGTGTCCGGGCAGAAACTCGACTTCTAAAAAATCAACTTATCTGGGGTTATCCGCAACGCTGAATCCGAAAATCCACATCAGAAGGCGCGAAGACGGCGAGAACATGCATTTTCCAAGTCCTCACATTTCGAAATTTGGGGATCCCCGCCAGGCTAAGACGCAGAGGTTGCAAAGAGCGCACGGTTTTTAACTGTGGCGGCATACGTACTCTGCCGTCTGGCAGGAATTCAAACAGCTCGGAGGACCCCGCCCCAAGGCGTAAGTTTCCCCAATTTGCAATCGTTTTTCTTGCTTTAGGTCGAACGTTTTATGCTCGCAGTTGCGCGATGTTGTGTCTCAGGGGGGCTACTTTCACATGGCAGAGAGATCTCAGAACCCCCATTTTGCCCGGACACTGCCTTTAAGCGCACTCTCGCTTTGATGCGTTCACATTATAGGCAGTGTCCCGGCAAAATTGTGCTATCCCGTTTTAACCTTCCCGGAGCCATCCCACCATGCTAAACCCATATCTGGGTTGTTTAGCGCATGAAAATGGCGAAAATGAGCTTTTCTCGAGGCACTTCATATCCACACCGCTAGAAAATGCGTGTGCGGGGTCCACAAGATTTTCGGAGCGGACCTCAGACTTTCCAAAAGCACTTTTTCGTTCCACACTTCACCAGTACGTTAGTTGGGGAACCCTCTCAACTCTGCGAAATTCCAATAACTACTACTTTGCCGTGGCGCTACCTCTAAAGTCTGAATGACCGAGATAGTCCGTTATCACTGAAAAATAAACAAATCTGCTCTAACCGTTGTCCATTACGCAGGATGGCAGTTAGGAGATAGAGGAGATAGATTTATTATGAAATGCAAATTTTGTTTGTTGTAATGGATTGCTAGTAAACTTTTGACTTAACTACGGATACCACATTCTTTTGGCATTGAATCGCATAGTGAAGCATGTGCCTCTCATACTGTTCAGGATTCTTACACCAGTGAAATTTCACATAGTTTACTAATCTATCCAGTATGCTTGTTCGAGCTAACTTTCGAAAAGAGTGAAGCTAGCACCTAGTAAAGTTCATTCGTAAAGCCTGAAGATCACAATGTGCAATGATAGCAGTGCCAAAGATTCTTCATGATAGCAGTTCCAAAATATTCTTCGGGGATGAAGATCAAAAAATCAGCGCAAAGCTTCTTTACATTGTAATTTGGACTACTGTTGAAAATTCTTAGTTCTCCAGCCACGCAATAAATTGTAAATACCAAAAGTTTGATTCTCTCGCTCTACAAAAGAAAGATTTTGGTAATTTCAGTTTTCACAAAAACGTATGGCAGCCACTTTGAGCTAGAAGGAGTTTATTTGGTAGAAGACGATTGCAGCATTATGAAGCATAGAAGGTCAAAAAATATCACTCTTCTCCTGAAACAAAGGTGAACCCAGGAAACGAAGCCTCTTTTTCAGAATATTTAGTTCAAGACTTGAAAATAAACGATAAATCGAAAATTTCTTTACTTAGGATAATCCTTAGAGATTTCAATTCGATGGGCAGGGCAGTATACAAGCAGATAAGAGGCCTAAGCAAGGGGTAAAGGTCAGCCCCCACACTGTCTGTTGCCTTCATGTCCAAGGTGGAATAACTTGTTTTGGAATGTAACCCGTTCTACCGCCGTTACATTGACGACTGCTGCATAATTCGGCCAATTACAAGAGAAGTTGGATACTTGCTTGAAGCTCTACAAACGGCAATCGTCAGGATAAAGTTCACAGGTAAGAAAAGTGAGAAACTCACGAAAACTGGCTACCATTCCTAACACTGCATTGTTCCCATCGAGAGAAGAATGAGAGGCGAAATGGTGTCGCAAACTCAGTAACAAAAATATTCTAGTGTACTGTCTCTCTGGACATCCGCCTCTATCAAAAAGTCTACCATTGCGAACATGCTTAGAACAGCAAAAAGGGTCGCATATGATACCGAAGAAAGGTGGGTGACAATGCGTCTGGCTTAAGAAGTAGCCGAGCACGAAGGCTATTCTATAGGGCAGGTTTTTTTTAATCCCGAACTCCGAGAGATTAGAAGGAATCGAATCAGTAAGAGAGTAGCTTAATCCCTTTTTGCCTTCCTTATGTGTCGGAGGAGGTGGCCAGATCGGCTAGACATGCTTGCGTCATGCTGACTTACAAGATAGGGTTTGCGATCCCCCCAAGAATCTCGAGCAGTTGTTAGCACGGAAGCGAGCTTATGATTTTACGTGAGTCCCGATAGTGTGTTTTGCCATGGTAGAGGAGGAGATTGCACTTGCACCGTAACAGGCGTGATGTATCTGATTAGCAGTGCATAGAAAAAACGCGACGATCTCGCTTTTGTACCATTGAACGCCTCGACGGGCTCAGTAAGTCATGGCCGTCAACACCGTTGAGAGCCTAGCGCCAGAAGGACCACAATAAGGATACGCTTGAAGTAAAGATTACGATCTAGTTGTACAACCAATTGTAGCGTCCAAAACTGTCGAGATGTTACGGATATCCGCAAGAAATCAAAAATTAACAGAAAGGAGTGCTTATCAGTGGCTAAATTTGTAACAAAGCTTGTAAGTTTGACCTACATACTGAGGCCTGCGCCGGCTTGGAAAAATCATGACTTACAATAAAGCGCTAAACAACTGTTTGTATGTCTGTCTGACAAGAAATTCATATAGCAAGAGCCAACGTCATGAGCTAAAATTTTTGTCATAGCACGCTATTAGCGTGTTGATGAACAGCTAGCACAAGCCGATCCGGTAAGTGGAACCATTAAAATCTGCGCTCAAAACTTATCCACGCAACTTGGCCCATCAAATTGGGTCGGTACTTGGAGTTCTCGCAAAGTCGTGAATTTGTCCAACAAGCAAATCCGAAAACATTGACTTCAGCCCAGAAAGTGATCAAAAAGCCTATCTTTACACAAAATCGGCGCCAAAAGGGTGTAACTGCGCAAACTGTCAACTCGCCAAATTTTTACTTTGAAAGAAAGGTTTTTTGAATAGAGATGTAGCCCCAGATGATTGTTAACCTTATGGCTACTATAAAGCCAAAATAATTCCAGTAACCCAATCAAAACTCTTCCAAAATCACCGATTTTACATGGGAAAGCTTTTGAACTAACGGTTGTTTACATTTCACTCGTGATGACTGGCATCGCGCGGTGAGTTTCAAAGTCGTTTTTATGCAACCACGGTAAGGCCCCGGACAGACTTCACGCGATTTGATCGTCGCGACTGAATCGCGACGAGACAACTGTTACAACATCATTCCATGCCGATCAACTTGCATTTCGGTTGTGATACTTTTCCAGCCCGAAATTTTGACTGTGAAATGAAAATGAATGGAAATGTCGGCGATGGAGTCGCGACGATCAAATCGCGTGAAGTCTGTCCGGGGCCTAAAGGCATGATATGGGAGAGCGCACTGGTGTATTACAAGTGGTTTTTGACTTTTTCCATGCTCTGATGAAGGATGCCGAAAGCCAAATAAATGATCATTACCGCCTTGGCCCCGGCCTACATAACAATCGATAATCATGTCAGTTGAGATCTCTTCAGAATTTCGGCAATTAAGTGGTGGGGTATGGTTCAAAAGCGAAGGAATGTATCAGCTAGTCAAGTGGCCGAAGTTATCCTCACGCACTCTTGATTTTTTACTACTTCAGCTCACGTCCATAGCTCATTTCATTTACGCTACACTGCAATCATGACTTATAATAAGCGGCTTAATCTGAAGTGGTGTGGAGTTTGTCCGTTACGAAATTACAGTGAGGAATGATTTACGATACTAAACATCATGTGAGGTTAAGAAGCGAGTATGGTTCATTTTTAACTACGGCTCACGTTGCAATAAACCGAAAAATGATTTGAGAGACAAGCTCTCAGAAAGTGAGTTTACCACGGTTCACGATGCCAGTGCGAACCTCTGCGAAGCAGAGGTGAAGCACTGGTTCATACATATTCGAATATGATGAGAGATGAAGCCCTTTCAAGATGTAATTTGCTTTCCGTTACGTCAATTCTTATTGTTAGAAAGAAGCCAGAACTTGCCCGCGCTTCTCCAGAGCAGTGAATACAACTCCCACAGTATCTATCTACACTATCATGACTCATAATAAGCGGCTTAATCTGAAGTTGTGTGGAGTTTGTCCGT